TGCGTCCCAACTTCAGAACAGCCCCTCCAGCCTCCCAAGGGTTAGCCCAAATTATCAAAGGGATTCCTTAGGGCAAAAGGTTTCGGTCTGCATCTCCGAGACCCCAGGGATGAGAGGAGAGATCCAGACCTGTCTCCTTTGGGAGGGGTCTCAGGCTTGGGGGAAGGGGCATTGGGTGCCCAACCAAGCTCAGGCAGGAAGAACTAGGCTCAAGAACTGACTCTCTCCTCTCCCTCTGAGGCTCTCTGAACCCTCTCTGAACCTGTTTTAAAATGTAAGTTTTATTTTATTCAGGCATGGTGAGACCAACAGATTAGGAGACAGTTGCAGACAACCAGAAAAGATGGTTACAAAAGCAGGGGGCAGGCCGGGTCATGTGGGGAAGCATCAGGGTCGGTCAGGAGACAGAGGGGCAGACACAGCCAGGGCTTCACAGGTGAGGTAGGGTAAACAGGCTTAGGGTTGCTAGTTTACATCGTTTCCGCAGGCTGTGCGTCATAGAGGTGGTCCCTAATTGTCAGGTACCTGGCCCTGGGGTGAATATGACAAGAATAGCAGCCTGAGCATGAGCGCCAGAGAGACGAGGTGGCGCGGCGCGTGGACTCTGGACTGGTCCGTTTGCTGATAAAAGGCACGCCGGCAGACCGTCTCTTGCTCTCTCTAGAAACTGGCTGGCCCTGGGAGGGGCAGTCTCTCCAGGGTCAGCAAGGCCCCAGATGGCAAAGCCTGTGAAATACGGGGGAAAAAAGGCCTGCTTAACAAACGCTCCTCTGAGGCTCTCTGATCCCTCCCCAGATGGCCCCAGCTGGGAGGTGACCTGCCCTGCCCTCCCTCATCCCCCTCAGAACTCAGCGCAACAAAGTGAAATCCACACCCTGAGTGTGTATATTCTGTTTCCCAGGCAAGACAGTTAACCCTTGTTCACTCAACAACCCCAGACATCTATTATACTCCAGGCCTTGTCCCAGCATGTGGGACACAGTGAGGAAGGGGCTGTTCCTTCTCCTCTATAGGTGTTCAGTCTGGCACAGGAGCCAGACGT